GTCTCCTGTGATGATGGAGTGTGTCTCCTGTGATGATGGAGTGTGGTCTCCTGTGATGATGGGGTGTGTCTCCTGTGATGATGGAGTGTGTCTCCTGTGATGATGGAGTGTGTTCCCCCCTCCCTTACTGTGATTGTGGAATATGTTTTCTTCTGGCTGACCTCTCAGGCGCACTGACTCAATGGTTCCCAGCAGAGGCTAATACACAGCCTTGAGAGCTCTTTTGTATCCTGATGCTATCTACCCCGGAATCTCTTATTTCCTTCCTATTTAATCGTGTCCAGTAATTATATCTAGAGAGCAGAATCTGCAGGCTACACTCTGAGAGAGTGTGTGTCTGCGAGCCTCCTGTGTTTGTTTTGGGGGGCCATGCAGGTCCCAGACACTTCCTGGGTAGATTGGTCTGTGCCATCTGGGCACTGTGGGCTTGGTCCCCTAGGGCACTTTCCGGTGATTGTCTTGTGTGTCACATAAACAAACAGAGTGAGGGGGGCAGGACCAAGCTTAACTCCTTATGTCAGCATAAGCTCTGAAGAATCTCTGGTGCTTCTTAGCCTGGGGTCTCAGGGCTGGGGGGCCCAGTGTCCGGGAGGAGGGCAGTGCCACTGGGGCTTTGCTTGGAGTGAGCGGCAGTGTGTCCTGTGTCCCCCTGGGCCCTGAGCTCAGACCGAGGATCTAGCTGTCATGACTGGAAGCACATTCGGCTCCTATCCAGGAGAAGCATGGCGGGTGCACAGGAAGGGCAGACACTGGACGGCAGCTCTGACTATGGCTTACGGGGCTGGGGGTGCTACTGAGTCACTATATTTGATGCTCAAGTCCTGCAGGGTGTTCACCGTGAGTGAAGAAAAGCCCTGGGCAGGCAGTGCTGCCAGCCATGGAGAGAGGACAGTGCACACACCTTCCCTGGAACTCCGTGGAGATGAAGGCAGATGGCAGGAGCTGGGCTGGTTTTGCAAGTGTGTGTGTGTGTGACATATGTGTGCACACTTGTGTGCCCTTGGAGTTCCGTACAGATGAAGGCTGGTTCTGCAAGTGTGTGTGTAAGCCAGGTGCTGGTGGCTCACATTTGTAATCCTAGCTACTCAAGAAGCTGAGATCATAGGATCACTAGCATGTTAGACTGGAGGTGTGGCTCAGGTGGTAGAGCAAGAAAGGCACGTGAGTGTGTGGGGCCCTGAATTCAAACCACGATACTGCCATCTCCACCAGAGGATTTAGAATGATGGACATTGGGGGCGGTCTTGCAAAGGTGTGCATTCCCACCTTACTTCTTCCTTCCGGGCTTGTGGAACTGTGCCAGTGGTCTACCCTGTGCCGGTGGTACGGCGTAGTAAAAGCTTCGGCTTCTTCTCCTGTGAATTTTGGTAGGTCATATTTACCAAAATCTCTTCCTTTCCTTCTTTCTTTCTTCCTTTCTTTCTTTCTTTCTGTACTGGGGATCAAACCTAGGGCCTCACACATGCAAGCGTTTCCTATTCCATAGAGCTGCATCTCCAGCCTACAAATTCAGTCTACTTTTAATCTTCATTTAAAAAACGATGGGTTCTGAGCCGGGCACTGATGGTTCACGCCTATAATCCTAGCTACTCAGGAGGCTGAGATGTGAGGATGCTGCTTCAAAGCCAGCCCGGGCAGGAGAATCCAGGGGACCCTTACGCCCCATGAAGCAGCAGAAAGTCAGAAGTGGAACTGTGGTAGAGTGGCAGCCTTGAGTGAAAAGCCAGGCCAGAGCAGGAGGCCGGGCGTGAGCCCCCGCACAACATCCACAACAGAGAGTGGCTCAGATGGCCAGTGCGAGGCCTGGAATTCAATCTCTATACTGAAAAAAAGTTATTCTTTCTTTCCCCCCTTTTTTTTTTGTTATGGGGCTTGAACTCAATCCCTCGCACTATTCCTGAGCTTTTTTTGTTCAAGGCTAGCACTCTATCACTTTGAGCCATAGCTCAATTTCTGGCTTGTAGGTAGTTAATTAGAGATAGGCGTCTCACAGACTTTCCTGCCTGGGCTGGCTTTGAACCATGATCCTCAGATCTCAGCCTCCTGAGTAGCTAAGATTTCAGATGTGAAAGCTTCTATGGCTCTAGGCCTTCCTGGTCTGTGAACACATTGCCTGTCTTGTTTTTTCTCTTCTTTTGGCCAGTACTGGGGTTTGCATGCAGGGCCTGGACACTGTCCCTTAGCTTTTCATTCAAGGCGGGTAGGTGTTTGACCCAGCTCCACTGCTGGCCCTTTTCCTGGCTCATTGGAGATAGTGTCTCTCAGATCTCCTGCCGGGCTGCATTGCCCCTGTCTGTGTGGGGCAGTCCCCCAGGCCTCCCCCTGGGTCTCCGGGCCTCACACCGTACGGGTGCCAGTTGGTGGGTGGGCCAGCTCACTCCTGAGCACCTTGTTTCCAGGCAGGGTCACATCTGTAGGTGCCTGGGGCCTGGCTTCCTCTCAGCTCAGCTTCCTCTACTGCCTTCTTGGAATTTTTCCAGGATTCACAGCAATCGGTTCTTAGCTTGGTCTCATGGTTTTACTACGTTACATTTTAATTACAGTTGGATCGAGATCGCGTTGGATTTCAGTCCTGGCTTCTTTGGCACAGGAGGCTCCTAGAATGTGTTGGTTGGTTTCCCAGAGCCTGGGGTATTTTCTGGTTGTCTCTCTGTGGCTGACTGACTCCGTTCTCTATGCTCACAGTTCACGTTCTCTGTTAAGCCTTCCCGACACTGGTTGGGTGGGTTCTGTGCTGTGACTGCTGGTGCTCAGGTCGCCCATTGGGAGCACAGGGAAAGGAGAGGGGGTTTCTGGTTTTCTCTGGTTCTGGGGGATTTACTGCACTGGCATTTTAGGGCAGGGTTAGCATGGACGCTCCCTCTGCTTTTGGGATTTAACAAGTACTTTTTATATATGCAGCCTATGTTTCTTGGAGATGTGGCCCTAGTATTTGCCTGAACAGCTTTTCTGGTTCTGGTTGGCCCTGACCGGGCCTCTTATCCTCTGCTGGATGGGTGGCAGTTCCACCGGCCTTGTCTGCTATGCACTTGGAAACTTCAGTTGGATCTGCACACTCATGTTTGTATGTTTGGATTGTGGGTGCCTGCCTGAGTGGCTGGATCAATGGTGCATTGATCAGCCCCAGCCCCAGCCATGTCTCCTGATCACCAGTGCCCTGACCCAGCCCCAGCCCCAGCCATGTCTCCTGATCACCACTGCACTGACCCAGCCCCAG